TTATGCTACGCCTCTCCCTATTTACAGTTTTCATTGTATACTCGACTGATTCTTGTGATTATTGAGTTTACTTCGTAGCCTTTTTTCAAAAGAGCTGTAATCGATATCTAGCTCGAAAGAAAACGTACTTATAATTCTCTCTATTATGTTTCTAATCACTAAACTTGCAAAACTGAAGACTGATCATTTAGCTGTGACGCAATAACTGCTAGAGTTCAAGAAGGCTTTAACCATTGAATGCGATGAATATGCCACTAATGATCAGTAATGCAACTATGTATGTAAATTATATTTCACAGCTTGTAGTACTACTGGCTCAGTCGCCTCAATAATTTACTAATAAGTGCAGAATGCATATTGACGGACTGCCCTTGGTACGGCTACTTTATTTTGAAGGCTATACTTGCATGTATCAAACATTTGAGATTTCTTTCTTAACAGAAGAACGTAAACATTCAAACTGACTGACGACGAGTGAGATGAGAGAGAACGCTTGTAATAATTTATCTCCATACTATTATCCTGTTGCTTCAAATACTTTTTAAAATTCATCTCACCCACGCTGCTGATAAGAAGACAGAATATTCTAATCATTTGAGATGAACACACTGACAGATGGACAATTACTTTGCTCGTATTCAAAATACAACAGAAGTGATGAATTTGATTCAACTGAATCACATCAAATCGAATTGTCGAACGTTTTACTGAATTTTCGGTCTCTGATGAACATAAGGGTTTTCCATCAAAAATCAGTTTTGAAAGAAAAAATCCCTTTTCAGGCAATTTGAGGTCGTCGCTCTACTCTAAAAATCTACTTAAGCTTCATCGAAAACTTAAGTACATCCAGTTCTGTATCACATTCTACGTCAAACATAAAACTATCTGTTTTGTTTTTTCAAAAATGTTCTATGATAATGAATAGCAACGAACACTACAACTACAATTCTAACCACAACCACAATTACAGTTACAACTACTACTCAACAGATAGGTAAGCATTAGATTAACACTTCTTGTTCTTGGCAAATGTTAATTTTTACTCAAGTATATGGACAAAATCATTCGTTAGTGACGTGACTTCGCAAAATTAAAATACCTATATCTCTCTATTAATGAACTTCCATAGAGCTGATTTTTATATGTAATATGTATGTTAGGTTACTCCCTATATACCCTGAAAAAATCAGCCCTAAAGATGTTTGTTGAGAGGAGTTATTACTAAAAAAATCCAGCGTTAGCGACGTGATCTGATAAAGTACATCAGTTTTTACTGTATGCATTTGAATTTAATAAAAATTGTAAAGTGAGGGGATAGTTTTGAAAACTAAATAGTATATTTTGTAGACAACTATTGAAGCTACAGAACCTCTATCCAAACTTTTTTCCGACCATGTGTAGATTTTTCAAAAAACTAAGCTTACTCGTAATTGGCCGCGTGACAGAGTATGAATAGACTATTTTTGATCCATTCATCTCTCTGCAGATGTTTACTCATTTATCCTGAAACTTGAGACTCTTATTTGACAAAGTGAGTTCTTTCATAAATCATATTAAAAAATTATTTTAGGTTATATTAAGGTTTCCAGAAAACTTGATTACTAAGGAGGAGGTTTTTGACACCATTTCTCGATTTTTTCGAGAAAAAGGCAGGCAAATTTGCGTAATGTAGGAACAACTTTAATGAAATAGGGCTTTCCAGTTTTTTCAACCACAAAAACGAAAAATAGGCGTCATTTTTTATAAACTATTCATAAACTGAAGACTAGAAATTGTAACTACACTAAACTCCCGCAACTCAGCTTCAAATTTTACAAAAAAACAACTTTGTCTCGTTTTGCCTGATTTTGCCCATATAACTCTATCGAGGGAATAATATTGTGCGTTTTCAAGGACTACACAAAATGTTGATTTTATTTTATTTTTCTAATTAATAGTATTTCACAAGAAAAAGAAAAAATGCTAACTAAAAAGACATGATTCTTTTCCGAATTCGAGAGGGAAGAGGATGAGTTTTCCGTTGACACGTACACTGGCTTTCTCCCTCTCCCTCATTCTTCCTCATTTATCATTCCAACTTTTTAAAATTTGATTGAAAAATGGTCAAAAATGATAAAATCATCGAATGAGAGAAAGAGAGAGAGAGAGATTATCTAGATGATATTCTTATAACTTTGTTGGATGAATAGTCACTAAGAACAGGATACAGAAACAAAACTGCGCAAAATGTGTCTCTCAAAAAGAAAAAATTAATAGATGAAAACAAAGATGTGTGTACTGACAATAAGATGAATGAAGGAACGGACAAACAACAAAATAAAATAAAACAATATTTCTAAATTTTGATAATCATCATCCATCCTCACTTTCATATTCCAAGAGCTACAATTAGGCCATGTATTCCGATTCCGTACTATTCAGCTACATGTCCCACTTGTATTCATTCGCTCCTCCGAACAAAATCACCCGTTTTCTAAAACTTTGTTCTCTCTCTCTCCCTTTTCTATATCTTCTGTCTCTTATTGTGACACCGGTTTTTCTCTATTTTAAGTACCACTACGAGCACCTGCTATTGACATTCATCCGAATGCAAAATGGACACAGAATGGTCTCACTGTGGCTGGAGGCATTGGATCAGGCAATGGAATCAATCAACTCTCTTTCCCATACGGTTTGTTTGTCGATGACAATCAAACTATTTATATCGCTGATACGTCGAATCAACGTATTGTGGAATGGAAATATGGAGCAACGAGTGGCCAAGTGGTTGCCGGTGGAAATGGACAAGGAAATGGAGTTAATCAGTTGGACACGCCCGTTGATGTTATTGTCGACAAAGAGAAAGATAGTCTCATCATCTGCGATTACGCGAATAATAGAGTAGTTCGATGGCCTCGTCAAAATGGTACTAGTGGAGAAACAATCATCTCGAACATCTCTTGCATCGCTTTGACAATGGATGAGAATGGATCTCTCTATGTCGTTGACGCAGGAAAACATGAAGTGAGACGATATCAAATTGGTGATACTGAAGGAATAGTGGTTGCAGGTGGCAATGGATATGGAAATCGTCTTGATCAACTCTCTACCCCCTCCTATGTATTTGTCGATCGAGATCATTCAGTGTACGTGTCTGATAAGCTAAATAATCGTGTGATGCAATGGAAGGACGGTGCAAAAGAAGGCATTGTTGTAGCCGGTAGTCAAGGGCAACGAAATAGTCTTTCACAATTGTATTATCCTGAAGGAGTTGTTGTCGATCAATTGGGTACTGTCTATGTGGTTGATGGTTGGAATTATCGAATCATGCGTTGGCCAAAAGGAGCCACACAGGGAAGTGTCATTGCTGGTGGAAATGATAGAGGAGGACAGTCAAATCAATTCTATTATCCAATTGGTTTATCATTCGATCGACATGGCAATCTCTATGTCGCTGATCAATGGAATCATCGAGTACAAAAATTTAATATCGAACAGACAACAAATTAATGACGTTTATTTATTTGTTGTATGATTGAAAATGATTTATATTGAATAAAAAAAGAATATTCGCGATCAATCAATAAATATATTAGATATTCGGGTGTGGGTAAAGAGTAGGAATAAATCCGCATCCACGCTCTTCCAAATAGGAATTGATGTTATTTTTAACAATTTGAAGAAACAAGCCCATCCATTTATATTACTATTAAAATTCTACTTTTCCACTGTCCTTGTAAATTTCACGAACATCATATTTTCGCCATTGAATCAGGTCCCGTATAGATAGGTAATGGTCATAAAGGTATGAAACCTAAAATATATCAACATTTGTATTGATATATTTGCACAGAAAACTTGGTCAAGAACAAATAGAAACATAAACGTCGAAGATTAGATTATGGTAAGAAGTCGTAAAATAAAACATAAAGAAGGAAGACAACGTGCTTATTATGAATTATTCATTCCAAATATAATATAACGATGGACAATAAACTTATAGTATTGAAATGTTATTATAACAAATAGAACAATTTTGGTAAAAGAAAATTATTAATTTCACATGACATTATGCAAGCTAAGCAATTTTTTTTTCTTGTTTGGAACTAATAAAAAAAAAAGATAATTGTTTTAAACATTTTACATTTTTGTAAATATTATTAGTGTTTGTTATTTTAATGTCTTATTTCATTTTGCTGATCAAGACGTTTTCCTTCATTTTAAAGTTATTAGGATTGGATGAATTTTTTTCTTTGACATACATACCATATATTTTCATATTCTTACTATAACGGATCGTTATATTTTTTGGAAATAAGATTATACTTCGAAAGAAAAAGATTATTTTGTCAAACAAAATAACTGTTCATGATTGAAATTCAGTAACAATCATGTCATACTCATTGCTTCTTACTGAAGAGGCTAGAGACAGATGATGACTGTACGAAATCTTTTGAATAAAAGAATTGGTGGAAGATAAAATCTAGTCTTATAGCTTAAACTGAAGGGAAAGGTTTATTATTCTAATTTTCTTGATTGGTATTTAATTATATTTAATAAGAAAAATATGAATTAAAAATACCTATAAAATTTGAAAAGAAGTCACAAATCTAGACATTTGAAAAAAATATAAAAATCTGCGTCTGATCTACGTTATACTTCAATAATGAGATCCAAATTATTGATTTCAGCCAACCAAACAAATAAGCTTTTTATTCTTTGATATATTTAGGTTTAGTTCTTTTTACTAAATATAGAATGAAAAAGATTCATCAATGATCGTACGTTCATTTAACTATGATATTGTTAATGTTTTCATGTTTTTTTTTCTAA